GGAAGCTGAAACACAGGAAGCCAGAGGACAGGAAGGAGATGTGGACCATGTCTCTTCTCTCCTTGCCAAAGGAAATGATGCCCAAGCTGAGGGTAAATAATGTGCAGCCTTTCCCTGATGAAGAGGAGGGTGCTGTGGGCCCCGGACGGTGTGTTCCAGGGGTGCTTCTGCAGAAGACGGAGCAGGAAATGGAGATGCAGGCAGGAGCTGACTCAGGGTGACAGGAAGCCATGGAAGGTGCTGTGTGAAAGAGGAACATGGCTGTGCCCATGCCATGGGGTGATCCCTGCAGCCAGGCAGGTCAGTGGCAAGCAGGGAGGCCAAGGGACATCGGGCCACGTCTGTCTGCGGGCTGTTCAGAAGCCGGCACTGGAGGGGGAACCCCCGAGCTCAGGTGCCTTTAGTCAGGTGGGCTGGTAACACAGAACAGAATGGGTTTCAAAATTATTTAATTGTCCCTTGAACTTCAGCTTCCCTTCTGCAAAAGGGGCAAAGCTAGTGTCTTCTTTCCAGGGACAAAGCAAAGTTCCACGAGACGAGGAGGTGGACCTGGGTGAAAGCTGCAAAGCCTGTTTGTTTCACAGCAATGTCTTGAGTCTCTGTCCCACTGTCCCAGGTGCTGGGGACAAGCAGTGAATGGACAAAAGCCCTGACGTCTTAGTGTTTCCTTCTGGGGGGGCAACTAGACACCGAAGAGCAGTAATGAATGGAGAACAGGTGGGTTGGGGGAGAAGGAATGTGGGGGTCAGGGCAGGAGCCCAAGCACGTCTGAACAGTGGCTCCAGGGTGTGAAGGGGAAGGCTGCTGGGGACTAGTGCAAGGCCTGTCTGGACCAAGGGAGGGGCCCTTTTCCCTAGGACCCGGGCCAGTGCTGGAGGAGACAGGAGCCCCTTGGAACCTTGAGATTTAATGCATGGTGAGTGGATGGCTGGGTGAGCCTGGAGCCATGGATCAGCCTGATGCGCCTTCCCTGGGGCCTACCTGTGCTGGTCATCAGGCTAGCAAGGTTGGCTGGGTCCTCGGCCCTGACGTGTCCACCAGCGTCACTCCGCACTGAGCAGGAAGGATGCAGACAGAGGCATTGGGGGGCAGCTAACCAGGCCAGGGTGTGGTGGCCTCTCTGAGGGGTGGTACTGGCTTGGCTCCAGGGTTGCTGAGCCAGCAGGAGGGAGCATTCCAGACAGGGGAGCAGTCAAGGCAGAGGCTCCATGTGGAAAGGGGGCTCCTGGCAGCCGCCGCCCGCTTTCAGGGAGCAGGAGCCCCAGCCTGTGCTCTGTCCTCTAGGACCAAGCAAGGAGGCAGCCTCACCTTTCCGGCTGACTGTGTGAGCACATGGGCCACTGTTTTTAGCCATGGAACCACTTCCTCCAGCTCCACCAGCTGCCTCCCTGAGTCACCGCCCCTTCCCTGGTGGGGAGGGAATTAGGCACCTCTGGACCTTCAGGATGTAGTTTTTGCCATGTGTGGAAAAAGGGGCAGAGAGGACTGGGCAGAGGGCATGTGACCCTCCAGGGAGGCTGTTTTTATTCCAGTTTCATTCCAGTTAACTGACTTGTTCACATAGTATGCAGGATGGGAGTTCAAATCTATCAGTCCTGGTGGAATCACTGTCCCCATTTTACAGATGGGGAAACAGAGGTTTAGAGAGGCAAATATACTTGCTCAAGGTCACAAAGCAAGCAAGTAGAGATGCCAGAAACTGAGTCCTTCACCTTGTCTGTATAATAGACAGCCAGTGCCTTGCTAGTGTACTTACCATGTGCCACTCTGCAAATATTAAGTCACGTAATCCTTCCAACTGACGGCAGTAGGACGGTGAGTGTTCCCATTTACAGATGAGGACAACACAGAGAAGGGAAGCAACTCCCCCAAAGTCAGGGCTAGGAAGTAAGGGAGCTGGGATGTGACCAGATAGGCAGGTGGTGGGAGGGCCGGAGCCTGTAATCTGTACGGGGGGGTGGGGGAAGATAGGGGTGTTTGGGTTGTGGCGGGATTCCTGGAGCCTGGGTACCCGCCTCTGGAGAGAGAAGGTCTTGCTGCTGGAGGTGGAGGCAGCAGGAGGTATGCTAGCTGGGGCAGTGGAATGCCATCTGCCAGGGGCGGAGGCGGTGGGCAGATGGGGAGCCAAAAGCCAAGGGGAGGAGCTTCTCCTGGCCCTTCAGAGCTGCCATACCTTGGGGTGATGAGACAAGACCTCCCTTTCCTGGAACCCTGTGGAGGAGGATTCAGAAATCAGGCAGGAGATGTCCTGTCAACTCTAAAGGTCCAGAAATCTGAGCTGCTGTGATTCAGAACTCCAGAATATTCTTTTTTTCTTTTTTTGCTGTACCGGGGATCAAACTCATGACCTTGCGCTTGCTAGGCAGGTGCTTGTGCCACTGAGCTAAATCTCTCCGGCCCTTCGGAATATTCTTAAATACGACTGATTGTACCATTTTAGGTTTTGATTTAGCCTTGTTCTGCGAGGAGACTCAGTGTTCCTTCTGGTTTTTTAAATGGCGTTGGAGGTGGAATCCAGAGCCTTTCACATGGCGATCAATCGCTCCACCACTGAGCCAGCCCCCGCCTCGTGGGTCCTTGTTTTGCTCTAACCTGAGGCCGCCATCGTGCTTGGGATCCCTTCCTTGAGACTGGTGGCCTCCAACGAGAAGGGCCCTGCAGGCAGACTTGGATGTGACGGTCCTGTCCCCTGGGAGTCGTATGGCAAAGGCAGGAGGTGGTCAGGGGGTGGGGGAGAAGACAGTCTGCTCCTACTTTGCTGTGCGACCCTGGGCATGTCACGTACCTCTCGTGTCCTCCATCTCTCTGGCTATGCCAAGGTGCTGCTAATCTGGCCCATCCAGACTAGGAGCACTTGGTCACCTGCAGCGCCCTCTCAGGTCGGGGTGGCCAGGCAGGAGCCAGAGGTGTTGGTCGCTCATGGAAAGAACGTGAGGGCAGAAGGCCCAGTGGGCGGGGACAGTGCACAGAGGGCACCATGAGATCATGGCATCTAGGCCTCCTGGCCCGCACCTCCCTGATGGGACCTCCTCCAGGCTGTCCTTTAGGCCAGGCCCTCCCCTGGGACTCAGACCCAGAGTCACGCTGCCCCCCACCCCACCCAGCAAAGGGAATGGGACTCAGGCCCCAAGAGGTAGGCACTGTTCCAGACTCACACTGCAAGGCCAAGGCGGGCACTGGGCCCAGGGTCTTGCTTGGGAATTTGGGCTGAGAGGCTTGTTCTCATTTCTCAACAGATGAGAAGTTTTTGGTGGTGGGGCAGAGAGAGAGGTGCAGGGGCAAGTGGCTCATGCCCAGAGAAGGGTGGGCACCTAGTGTGACTGACCCTGTCTCTGTTCCTGTTCACCCAGGGCAAGGTGAACAGGGCCTCAGCCCAGCTCGGAGATTAAGTCTCCTGGGGGGTGGGCAGGATGCTCTGCCAGGCCTCTCCTGACCCGGCTCAGGACGTGGGCTTGAAGGACACTGGGGTCACCAGGGCACCATGGGAATGCACCACAGGGAACAGTGCCCAGCGGAGGCTGCCTTCCCTGACCCAGCTAACGAAGGGTCCCACCCTCTGAATCTGTCTGTTCCTCTGCTTGCCTGTTTTTCTGTGCTCGAGGGCACTTGTGTCCTCCCCCATACATTGACTCACAGGGCATGCGCAGTGGACACCTGCATCCCCTCAATCACAGTTTCTCCCTTTTCTCGGAGCTACGAAGCTGCCCATGGGAGGCAGGGCAGACCCTCACCCTCACAGTTTGGCGGCTTGGGACTGGGGTACAGCATACACCAGGGGGGCACCTACAGCTGGCCAAGCTTCTTTTCAGCCTCTTCTGGCTGTGGCGAGCCCCCGCCCAGCAGGTCCCCCTCCACCTCAGCTCTGGAGTCTGTGGGAACCAGACAGTTCGGGCTGTCCAGCCGGGCTCGCTTCCTCCCAGGCCCCGAGGGACCTTGGAGGGGAGGAGGGAGTCACAGAGCCTGAAGTCAGTGTGGCCAGCTGCCCAAGGGAGGCCTCTGGGAGGACTGGCCCAGCTGCTTGGTGCAGGGGTCTCCAGCTCTCTGGTGTCACCTCATGGGACATAAAGACCCTTAGACTCTATACCCAGCATGTATTTTTGTCTCATGCCCATGACCCAGAGGGGAGGACTGAGGCTCCAGGAAGTCAACTGCCTCTTCCAGTACTGGTGGCCATGGGGCCAGTGAGGGTTCCTATGTCTGTTCCTCTGACGAGTGCCACAAATATCCTATATCTCCTGTCTGTCTGCACTCAAGTGGGTGGCTAGAGACTAGTACTTAGAATAGCCCTGCCCCTGCTCCTGCGCCCCAAAAATGCTTTTGTCCAATCACCAAGAAACCTTTGCCAGCGGGGGACCAGGTGAGGACCCCATTAGTGAAGGCAGTTCAGATGGGGGCGATAGTGCCTTTGAGCCTCGGGGTCCCTGTCCATGCATGGGGGAAGGCAGAGCCTTCCAGCCCTGACATTCCGGGATTTCACAGGAGCCTTCTCTCCTCTGGGAGCAGCACCAGTCCCACTCCACTGTTCTCCACCCTGCACCTCCCTCAAACAGGGCAAAGCCTGGGTGTCACTCATCTCGGCCACCCCTTTGCCAGCCAGAGCTGGGGCTGGCCAATGGCCCCAAATGCTGAGCCTCAGTTGCCACCACTGTAAGTTGGGCTCTGTCACCCAGTGAGATGACAGGCACCAGCCAGGGACAAAAGAGATGCTGCACTGGTCATGGTGTGCAGTCAGAGTTTGGAGCTGGACAACCGCCGGTCCCTCGGGTGGCCTAGGCCCCCCCGCCCTGGTCACATTCATCCTCTGTCTGCCCCAATTCTTGGCCTTCCCTTCCTCTGCCTTCCTGGGAAACTCCCTGAGAAAGTCCCCATCAGGAGGAAGCTCATGTGAGACATTTCCTTCTGGGGTCTCCATCTTTGTCACACAAACCCACAGCCACAGCCACCCCACACGGAATCCCGCATCTTGACCCTCAGCCCCCTACCATCCAGCAAGATGATCCTTATAATCACAATGGCTTTTATTGGCTTAAGAGCCACAGAGTCAAGTGTAAGCAACCCCACGTCCCCTCACCCCCAAGTCTGGTGGTCCCGATGGTCTGGCTGAGTGTCTTTGGCCTCTGCAGTCCTGGCTTCCCATCCTAGTTGACTTGGCCTGCCAGGTCTGGGGTCCATCAAGAGCTTGTCAGGTCCTAGAACCAGGCCCAGCCTGGAGGGTGTCCTTGACAGGGCCCTGTGGAGGTGAGACCACGTCACTCAAAGAAGAACACTCCTGGTGTCCGGTATAGGCAGGGAGGCAGCCCCAGTGGGTAGCCGGAGCCTCCCTGGACAGGAAAGCCCCCTGGAACCCATGGTTCCTTGGGTTCAGCTGGCAGGGGCAGTGGGGCCCGGAGCGAGGCTGGAGGGGTGGGTGGTGCAGGGGAGGGGGCTGCCGAGGCCAAGAGGTGCTCCAGGCCTGCGTCGGCCCCCATGCAGAAATTCAGTGCCTGCAGCCGGCACTGGTAGCTGCTGCTGATGACAGCCTCTGGAGTCGCTGCGGGTGCAGGGACCTTGCTAAAGCCCTCTGCCTCGGAGAAGCCAGCAGGAAAGCCAAACGCTGGGCACGGGGAAGATGAAGTGGCTATGGGGAGGTCCCCAGGGCCTGCAGGTTTCGGCGTGGGCATCTCTTTGGGCTCCACAGGTGGCCGGGGCCTGCTGTCAGCCGTTGCTGGGCACATGCTGGCTGATCCGGCCCCCATCAGACCCGCAAAGCTTAGGCCCTTAGGATCAGACAGCTCTGGTGGGAATGGGCACTGCCTGCCAGTCGTAGCATCAGGGACTCCTGGGTCCTGGCCGGTGGCTCTGAGGGGTCCACGGGGTGCCTTGGCAGGGCCCTTGGTGCCTGCAGCACCTGCCCGCCGGGTGAAGCGGCGGCGTCGCCGGAGGAAGCTGCCGTGCTGGAACATGTCATGGCAGTCGGGGTCCAGGGTCCAGTAGCTGCCCTTGCCTGGTTTGCGGTCATCGCGGGGCACCTTGACAAAGCACTCGTTGAGAGACAGATTGTGGCGAATGCTGTTTTGCCAGCCGGGCCGGTTGTGGCGGTAGAAGGCAAAGCGGCCCATGATGTAGCGGTAGATGCCACTGAGCGTGGCCCTCTGCCCTGGCGAGCTCTGGATGGCCATGGCGATCAGGGCTATGTAGCTGTATGGGGGCTTGGTGGGTTCTGTTGTAGGGACCAATGGCCCCGGTGGTGGAGGCGGCTGCTGCATGCTGCCCAGGCTGGCGGCTGCTGGGACCCAGGCACAGGCGGCCAGCACTGGTGTCCAGTACCGCCTGCCCGGTCTGGTTAAAAGGCCCACTGGCCCAGCCTCCCAGCCTGGAAAGGCAAAAAGGGGTGGGCCCGCCAGGCTGCCCTCCCTCCGGCCCTCACCACCCCCTCCAAGGCCCGAGAGGGGCGGCCACAGAGGCAGGGCTGAGAAGCTGGGAGCAGCTGCGGGTGAGGAGGTGGAGGGAAGAGACTGAGACCCTCAGCCCACAGGGGCTGGGCTGCAGGGGCTGGAGAGGGACAGGATGTGAAGCGGAGCGAGACAGGGACACAAAAATAGGCAGGGATGTAAGGAAGCAGAGGCAGAAACGAGACAGAGGCAGAGCCATAAAAAGAAAGATGAAGATCAGAGAGAGATGAACGAAACGGACAGACAGCCAGAGAGACACATGGGCACAGAGACTGGCAGCACACTGAGAGATGGAGTCCTGGGAGCCAGAAGAAGCGGCAGAGAGACGCAGGTGCGGGTGGGGTCCTGGTGAGACCAGAGGTGGGCAGAATCTGCGCAGTCTCCACAGCGGGAACAAAGCCCCACGGCCCCCCCAGTCTTCCCTCTACTCCTCCCCTGCCCTCTGCTCCTCCACCACCCCGTGTCTGACGTGGAGAGCCCTGGCCTGGGCACACCGACCGCATCCTCAGCACGGGTACAGGCTGGTGGGTGCCTAGGATGGAGAGGAAGCTGTGCACAGCTGAGCCCCGGCGCCCTCTGGTGACTGGCATGGAGAGGCAGCGATTTTCACAGAGTTTTCCTTCCCTCACAATACCCTGGCCAAGTCTCTAAAATGGTGCCAGCCACTCTTCAGCTGCCCAGGCCATAGTGAGGAGGCCACAAGCTCCATGACACAGCAGCCACAGCCCATTTGTACGTGGATTGTCACTGAACAGAGGCTCCCCCAGCTGCAGCCTCATCTGACAGGCAGCCCATCTGACAGATGAGCAGAGTCCTCCCTGCCTGCCCACAACCAGGTCAGCGGTCAGCTACTCTGTGTTGGGCCAGCGGAGTAATCCTGCCCCAGAGATCTCCATAGCTTCTTAAATAGATGACAGTCTAAAGCTCAGAGAAGCTAAGTAACTCAACTGAGGTCACACAGGTAGTAAATGATAAAGCCTGGATTTTAATCCAGGATTTTGTAATTCCTGAGCACCACCCCTTTTGTGAGCATCAGGAGTAAGGGACAGTCACAGGACCTCAATTAGAAAACAAGTTGTGAACCCCAAAACAGTAAGGACTATGCTGTTCTGCTCTATCCCTAGCATTGAGTATGGGGAACAGGGTAATGCAAAATAAATGTCTGTTAAATTTCTGAAAAAGTGATTGATTCTGTCCTTTATGGAATCATGGATTTCCCCCATAAAAGTGGCTTACTGACTGGCTGTATAGCTGGTGGCAGAGTGTACTTAGCACACTCAAGGCCCGGGCTGATGATCCCTAGCACACACATAAAAAGTGGCCATTAATGTATTGCTAGGATTTATTAGATTGCAACCGCAAGAAGACTCCTATAAAGTCAGAAATCAGAGAAGGAAAAAAAGTTACCATACTCACATGGCAGTGTAGATCCAACTCCCACTTTGGTCTACGCCTTAGGGTTGTGTTTGGGACTCTGCCTTAGCCTCTCCAAAGACAGGACCTCCAGGTGGTTCAGCGGTTAGCATCCAAAGCCCACGGTTCAGGCCCAGTACTGTTTTGTGGCCTTCATTGCTCCCAAATAGAGAAGAGAGACTCGTGGCAGCAGGGAAGAAGGATATCAGACTGGAGTTCCTTAGAGGCCAGGGTTGTGGCTGCTGCCTGCTCTCTTACAAAGCCTAGGGATCTGTTTCTGGGAAACCTGGCCTGAGTGAACGCTCTGTGGATCCCACCACAGGGTAGTGCTGGCTTCCCATAAATTGCCACCAGCATCTGGGGCAGTCCACAAGCGCTTTCGTCCCATTTCCCTGCCAACTGCTACGTTTCTGGGACCTTGAGGTCAATGTCAATTTCATGCCACTGCCCCATGCCCAGCTGCCCATGCTGTTTGGCACCTGGGGCTCCATCCCCAGGGATGAGGTGACGGCCTGGGCACAGTGGGCGGTGTTGGGGACACAGGGCTGCCCGCCTGGGGCTGCCTTCAGTGGGTGTGAGAAGAGAAGCAGCCCTCTTAGGGCTGACTCTGTGGCATCAGTAAGTGGTTGATGCCATCTGGGAAGCTGGGTTGGGGACCCCAACATGCCTCAAATTCAGGAGTTCAAGCTCCCACTACCTTCACCTCTGGGAAGTCATAGACTAGGGACAGCCCTGTTCCCATACCTACTTGTCAGGGGTGGACATACAAACCTGAGGCCAGGAAGGGGAGCTGGGACAGCAGAGGGAGAGAGAGGGGGCTAAACGGAGGGGACCAGAGGCCTGGGTCTCCCCACAGTGGAGGACATGACTCATGGGACAAAGTGAGTCACCCCTCTGGCTGGTCCAGAGGTCCTAGATACTCCTCGATGATGCACGGACCTACTACTCTGGGTCTGGGTCACCGCTCAGCAGGTGGACATGCAGTTCTACAGGCCCAAGATTGGGGCTTCTGGGCCAAGAACCAGGCAGCCCTCCCAGTCCCGCTGGGAGCTTAGGCCCTGAGCCCACACTCGCATGTGTGCCCGTGCCACATCCCACATCAGCACTCGCTCCCGGGACTCCCATCCTTCCTGGTTCCCTATGCCCATTCCCATGCCATTATGCCCTGCCCATGTCCACTGCCAGGCAGCTAGCTTATTTGTGCTCAGTGCTCCTAATGCCCACCCTATGCTGGGTGCCCTTATGCCACAGATGTGCTAAATCCTGTGCTTAGAGCCCATGCCCAAAGCCCAAATCCTGTCCATTGTTTTTTTTCCATCCCTGGGGGCTTCTGTGCTGTATCCTTTGTTTTGATGCCTACTCCAAGCACAGCACCTTTAAGCCCACCCCATGGTGCCCACATGTCATGTGCCTACATTTCTCTGTTTTTTGCCCAGCTGGCACCCAGCCCCATGCCCAGCCACCCTGGCCCGTGGCCCCACTGTGACATATTTACCCTGAAGGAAGGGTCCATGTCCAGCAGCTGGTAGGTATGCTGGTCCTCCAGCTTGCTGGGCAGCACAGTACAGGGCCAGCGGGGCCAAAGGGCCCAGCTGTGCCAGTATATACAGCCTTGGCACAGGTGCTTGGTGAAAACACCCTCAGGTGGCACCCACAGCAGCAAACCACGCTCCAGGCACTGCAGCACATGTGTACCAGGCTGCCGCTGCAGGAAACAAATACGTGCCAGGTGGGCGCTCGGTGGGTGGCGAAGACCTTGGCTTCACATATGGCTTTGCACACCAGCATCACACAGCAGAGGAGGCACATGTGAGGCCAGCAATCTGTGGGTGTGAGAGAGAAGGGTGCAGGCTGGCACTGGTGATGGCACCCATCTTCCCCCTCCACAACAGGGCGCCCCTTCCCGATCTGCGATATACTGGCAATAGATTCCAGTATAAAACAACGGGTAGTTGAGCTCCGTAACAAAAACCACTGGCTCTGGGGTAATTGGGATGTGACCTTGAGGCCCTTCCTGCCCTGATCCCCAGGGTTCTACGAGCTTCTAGCCAGCAAAGATTTTGATGCCGTCAGAAGTAACACCGGCAAGGCAGAGGCATCAAGCTGCATCCGTCCCGCAGGCGAGCGGGCAGCGCCATTCATGTCAGGCCTGCGGGCTTCTCGGCCAGGCCTTGGGATTCTATTCTCCCCTGTAATCCGGGCATTGGAACCTGAAACTAGCTGTGTGACCTTGGGCGAGGTTCTTACCTCTATGTCTGGACTTGGGCTCTTGTACAGTGGGGTGTCAGGAGTGTCTGAGAGCTAAGGACGCCTGGCAGGAAGTCAGCCCTTGAATGTTAGCTGTTGCGGTTGGTTTGGGTGGGGGACGAAGCTAGCAGGCTGTGGCCCTGGGCCCTCCCCGGTTCTGCATGGTCAGAGGGCCTGTAGATTCCTCACCAGGGTTGCTGAAATCCTCAGCAGGGATCAGGCTCCAGGGGCATTCAGGGTTCAGTGCTGGGTACCCTGGCAGAAAAGGGTCCATGGTCAGGCTCCCCCATGCTGGTCTCCTTGACCCTAGATCCAGGAGGAGGCCCAGGAGGAGCAGAGCAGTGAGAAGACCCCATGCTTACTGTGGTCAGCCAAGGGGCTGGGAGGAGGGCTGCTGGGGTAGGACCCCTGAGGCGCTGGCCTGGAGAGCTGCTGTGTGCCCGCCTCTGTGGCCAGTCCAAAGCCATCCTGAGCACTGGGAGAGAGGGCCCACCTGAGGGGTGAGAGGCAAGCATGGGCTACAGGGGTCGTAGGCGGTCTCCGCCTAGGCGGAGGGAGGTCTGGACAGATTGAAGGCTGGAGGGGGCTGTCGGGGACCTTGAGGTTTCAGAACTCAAGGCCGTCCCTGCCCTGGAGGTGAAGAGAGTGATGAGGTGACAGGGTGAAAGGTGGGTCGCTGTGTCCGGGAGAAAATGGAGGTGACAGAGATAGGAGGACAGAGCCCCTGAGCAGACAATAATGGGGGCAGCAGGGACATGGGCCAGGGGATGCAGACAGCAGTGACCATGGCTGAATGCAGACAGAGTGATGGAGACGGAGCAGAGAGGGCAGGAGAACTGTGGCAGCTGGCTGTGATGGGGTGGAGGGGACACATCCCTGGACGATGGGGACAGGGCAGAAAAGCAGGGTTGGCGCACAGCGTGATGGAGCTGCAGAGGTGGAGGTGACAGGGGCAGAGAAAGAGCCAAAGCTGGCAGCAGGAGAGGGGACGGGCCAGCAGGGCAGAGATCATGGTGAGATGTGAAGCAGAAGTGACAGAGGTTGAGCTGGAAGGTGGAGGAGGACAGTGATGGAGCTGGGGCTCCTGGAGGGGTGAGGTAAAGGACAGAGCTGGAAATCACAGGGGGGTGCCCCCCACCCCCGGGGGCATGGCTGAGAGGCTGCGGAGAGGGTCCTGCAGGTGGGCTTCTGTTGGTTGGGGGAGCATCCTCCTCTTCTGGGGTAGCATAGATCCAGGCAACTGAATGGAATAAGAACAGCCTGCTGTTTCCTGGGCCCCAAGATGAACCTTCAACCCAGGTGACCTCAGACAAGAGCTCCACAGCTTCCCACATGTGCTCAGGCAAGGCCCACCTGTCTCTGGGCCTCAGTTTCCTCCTTTTCAGATGCAGAGGCACACTGGGTGGCCTAAGGGGCCTTGTGGACTGACCGGCCCATGCATTCAAGCTCAGTGAGCCCACCATTGCCTCAGCTGGCCACTGTCGCTGGGGGCACCAACAGGCACAGTCCAGTAGGCCTTGTAGGGATCAGAGGCATCCAGCTGGCTGGGCTCGTGCACTTGGAGGAGGTCAGTACTCTTACTGAGGGCACAGAGGAGCTTCCAGGTAGAGAAGTCCTCCCTGCTGGTGCCCTCCAGAGCCTCCCCTTGTACACAGCCCGGCCTGGGGGTGAGCTGGAGGAGTTGGGGAGGAATGGCTTGGGAAGGGAGTGGGGCCATGAGGAGGGATGAGGGCCTGCCTTGCCCCTGCGTCCCCTCTCCGGCCCTCACCCCCACCCTCACTCCCATATTCTTTAGCTGCTACCTTTCTAGCAAGGCTGGGATTGGACTAGAACAAGATAGCTGTGGTCCCTGCTCTCAAGGAACTCAAGTCTCCCAGGAGGAGACAGCTGCAGCTGCCTTCCAAATCATGGGCATAAGGGGCTGGGGATTTAG